AGGCAGGTAGATTAGAACATCAGAGTTGCAGATGTACTCGAAGAGTTTCCGTTCCACAAACAGATTGACAGGTAAGCGGGGCCTGGAGACGCAAAAGACAACAGGCTCCCAGGCATGTACAAAATAAAAAAGGCGTGTCAGATGAAGCCCCGCTTTGATGATTGTGTTGTCTTACTGAAAGTCACGTGATATAGCAAACGATGCCTCGCATCACATCGGACATGTCACTGCTTCATTGTACGTGTCAATCCCCATTTCATCAGCAGTGTCTGAAAGGAAGCCAGTAAGAAACAGGAAAACCTCTCCAATCCATCCCAGTGATTCCTGTGCTGTTATTTCCTGCTTTAGGTTGGAATACTTTCAACAAGGCACCTGTAAAAAGAAATGAAAAGCTGCTGTGAGCTGTGTACTTTTTCATGTTAAAATGGAAATATCGACACTGCTGTTCTTTCTTAAGTAGAACAGTGATGCACAGTATATAAACCATTTCATTATTTCTACATTTGCTGTGGACAGGACTAAGCTTTGCAGGGTGTCTCTACAATGGGCAAAAAAGGAATTGAACCTGTGGTTATTTTTCTTAGTAAATGGAAATCTTTCAGATAGACAAGACATTGACATATCTGATAAACTCATTTATACTCAGATGAGACCAAAGCTGAGTATAAATGAGCTTTGGTCATTTATGCTCTTCCACATCAAGTTTAGTGGAAGAGTTGCTGTGCATATCACCACAGAAACACCATGCCACATGGGAAATCTGCAGCAGTAAACATAATGGTGTGAACTGTCTTAAAGTGTACATGGCCAGCCTTCAGATAACTGAAGGACAAATTACTGGATAAATGTAATGTAATTTTTCTCATAATATTTAAAATATTTCTGTTATGGTGTAACTTATTTTCCTTTATCCTTCCAATATTCTATCTAAAATATCCTTTGTGGACTCATTTGCTTTGATTTCTTTGTATGTGTGGATTATTTGGGACATATTAGGAATGTCTTTAATAAAACAAAACCCTGACATCTTCAGTACATATTTGACCCATTGCATGAAACAATTCTAAAAAGTAAAAATAGTAAATGCAGAAGCATATTTGTTGGGTTTTGTTGTAATATCTACTTTTCCTTTTCAGGAGTGGAGAATGTATTTCAGGCCAAAGATATGGAGTTTACCAATGTTTCTTTGCCTTGGATGCCTGATCGATATGCAATGGTCCCTCGGCTGGTGGAAAAGCAGTTCAGAACTGAACAGGTTAGTACTAATTTTCCTCTGCTAGTCTTCTGTTTTTATTTTATTTAAAAAAAGGTCTGCTTTTTGATGCATAGCAATTACAGTGGCAGCTTATAGGGTACCACAGTATTGAATCCATTATATCTTTGTAATACTGCATTATGCAATAATGCAGTATTTTGTAATTCTTCCTCCCACATTATGAAATAACATTATTATAAAATGTGGAGATGATTACAAAATGTGAATCCTGTTGTTTTTAGGAATAATAATTAGGCCTGTCACTATAGGCAATAACTCAATTCTTCATATGATAAATTAGAACAAACTCAATCATTTCTATTCACATAACTTATTGTTTTTCTCTTTTCTTTCTTTCTGCCAAAACCTGGATGACAAAAGACTTCAGTCTGGAGCTTTGGTCTCAACTAAACATTTTCTGAAGGACAATTTTGTTTACAGAGACTACTGAAGACTGATCCAAGGAACTTAGCTGGAGAAGCAGACTAGGCAGAGAATACAGGAACATATGAAAACAAAAAATGAAACATGACAATTAAAGGATACCAGAACACAATGAAAGCTAAAGAAAACCAAAACATGGATACTAGAACATAACAGGACTGAGGTATAGGGACAATAATCATGGTTAGAACAGAACCCAGAAGAGGAAGATTAGGATAACAATGGATAGACAAGATCAGGCATGAGAACAAGATAAGAGACTAACTGAAACAAAAATGTAACTTAAATAAAACACAGAGAAACAAGACACGACACCAGCTATATATAGCTGTCAAGTTTCCCGTTTTTCCAGAAAACTACTGTATTTTGCCTCCCTTTCCCAACGTCACCCTGGTTACCCCCACTCTGACAATAGAATCTAACAGGACTGAGGTATTGGACTTGATAATATTTCCCGTATTCTCAAGTCCAAAACTTGACAGGTATGCCTATGCCTATGAACCCAAACTTACAGATAAATAAGCAAAGCATTTGAATAACAGAAATGCATGGAACATAAAACCCCATGACAAAAACACCAAACACCCAGACAGCATGAGAATTTCAACCAGAAGAACAAATAGTCTAGCTAGCAAAGTAGCAAGAATGGACCACTATTGAACCATCTGTCAAAAGTAAATGTGGAGATCCTGTTTCCGCCTCCCAAATGATCACAGATCAATCTAAGAAGCAGAGCAACTTTAAAGAAAATGTGGCCATATTAGTCCTCAGTTTGGCTTCTGCAAACATGACATAACACATATTATGGACATGAAGGAGTCTTCACGAATATTTATGATTTTTGTCATAAATATGACAACATATTTATGCTGCCATATTTAAATATGAGAGGCTGGACGGGGAGGGTGATATTATGTTCTGGGTTGTTTCAAGGTTTGTTTATTATTCTGTGTTCATTTGTCTCTTTCTTTGACTAGATCAGTCTTGTTTCTGTTTTTTTAGTTGAGACTTTCCTAATGATTCTAGTTTATATGCTTGTTGCTCTAGTTCAATTATTTCTTTTGTCTAGTTGTCCCTCTCCCTCGCCCCCGTGCCACTTTTCTGTACGTTTTTGCAAGTTTATGTCGATAATGTTTTTATTAAACATTCTTCATTTACTCAATGTCTCTGCCTTTCTGCATTTGGGTCCACAATCAAATGGCCCATCATGAAAAGAGCAGCTTCAGTGGAAAACACTGACAGTGGGCATATTTTAGAATTAATTGGTAGGCAAAGGCTACTGTGTACTTCATGACTGTCACATATGCAAACTGAATGAATTGAATGAGGAACTGAATCTCCATAGGATGCCGAACTCATTATTTTGCTTCTCACTTGTAAATCTCAATTTGTTTGTAAATCTGCATATGCCATTTGTCACATCTTGGATTTTGACTGTCAGACTTCTGGAACTCTTCCACAGGAGGCCGCCCTGCGTTATGACACCAAGATACCTCGCTATCTTCACATCGCTAGCAGGAAAACCAATCGTTGGGGTCATCAGCGTTCCTACAAATTGCAGGTGTTTAGCTTTGCAGGAGACCACCTACCAGAGAGCCAGACTGAAGAGAGATCAATGTCCTGGGCCAGGTAGGAATGAACAAATTAAATATAAATAAAGGAAAATCTATGCTATGGTCCAGTTACTACATTATTACTGTTCAATGTGGTACCTGCTTCTCACTTATTGACTGATTGAGAATTTATTATTAATAATTTAATTATTAATCTTTATTAATTATAGTCATTATAATTAATACTTCATCAGTCAAACATTGATTTCTCAAACTTTTTTTCCACAAATAACAATCTGATTACAGTCCAGTAGTACAAAATTTGAATAAAAAAATAAATAATTGCAAGTATCCTTGCAATTATTTTTGCAATCTTTTGACCAGGAATGTACATATATGTTGTAATCCTTGGTTGTGTGAGTTTTGGGTGCCATTTTTGTTTTTGTCTTCACCACATTCTGTCATGTTTGTTTTAACATTTCGAACCCACATGCAGAACACAAATCAGGAAAAGAGTAATCAGTTTTAAGAGGTTTATTACAAGCAGGTAAGTCAACGGCAGGGTCTCAGATAACCAATAGTGACAAAGAACACTGGAACGTCGGGGCACTGTGGTGCTGGTTTGGTCAGATTTAATTTGTGACACTTGGAATGTCGGATGGATGCTCAATGAAGCTGGGAGATGGAGACGGACTTCAGACGGACAATGACAGACTCCACTTCTAAAGGTCCAATGAACCTAGGGGACATTTTCTTGGACATGGATTTTAAATGTATGTTTTGGGTGGATAACAAAACCTTCTGACCAGGTGAGTACTCCAGAGCAGGGATCCTTCTGCAATCGGCGAAGCGTTTGTTTTGGGCTGCGGTATTATTGAGTGCGTTGATGGTGGATTTCCAGATTTTTTTGCAGCAACGAATGTGGTTTTGGACAGCGGTAACAGAAATGAGGTCTTCATCCGAGGCGAGAAGAGGAGGCTGGTATCCTAGGCACACTTCAAAAGAAGACAGACCGGTAGCAGCAGAAATGTGACTATTGTGTGCGTATTGGACCCATGGCAGGAACTGACTCCAATCAGATGGATTGTTAGACGTAAAACAGCGGAGGACTGACTCAAGTTCCTGATTCATTCTTTCAACTTGGCCGTTGGACTGAGGGTGGTAACCGGAAGTCAGCATTACTTTAGCGTCGAGAGCGGTACAAAACTGTTTCCAGACTTGTGATACAAATTGCGGAACACGGTCCGAAAGTATCTCAACAGGGGGGCCACGTAAACAAAAAATATGTTTGATTAATAGCTGAGCAGTTTGAAATGCAGTGGGGAGTTTGCGAAGAGGCACTAAATGACAGGACTTGGAAAAACGGTCTATGATGGTGAGTATTGTTGTTATACCTTTAGATGGAGGTGAACCAGTGATGAAATCTATTGCAATGTGTGACCATGGGTGCTTGGGAATGGGTAATGGTCCAGATGGGGGCTGATGAGATGACTTGTTCCGGGAGCAGACTGTACAGGCTCAAACATACTCCTTAGCATCTTTGTGGATGGATGGCCACCAAAACCTGCGGTTAATCAAGGAGATAGTACGGCTCGTACCTGGGTGCCCAGAAAACTTAGAGGCGTGGATCCAGTGAAGAAATCGGGCTCAAACAGTTGAGGGGACATAAATCTTCTTAGCAGGGCAGCCTTCAGGTATGGGTTCAGACGACTGGGCTTGCTTTATGAGGTCCTCAATCTCCCAGGTGACAACACCCACGGTGCAGCTGGGGGGCAAGATGGTCGCAGGAGTCTTGTCTGAATCATCAGCAGCATATTGCCGGGACAGAGCATCTGGTTTCTGGTTACAGGAGCCTGGGCGGTAGGAAATGGACAGGTTAAACCTTGAAAAGAACAGAGACCAACGGGACTGACGTGGGTTGAGGCATTTGGCAGATTGAAGGTAAGAGAGGTTCTTATGCTCGGTCCAAACCAGCACCGGATGTTCAGCTCCCTCCAACCAATGCCGCCAGTCCTCCAGGGCTAACTTGATGGCCAGAAGTTCACGGTCACCCACATCATAATTTCGTTCAGCGGGGGATAATCTGCGGCAAAAGAAGGCACATGGATGTGTTTTGTTATCAGAGTCAGAAATTTTGGACAAAACAGCTCCCACCCCAGAATCAGATGCGTCAACCTCCACAATAAATTGTCTAGAGGGGTCCGGCTGGATAAGGACAGGGGCGGCGGAAAACAGAGACTTGAGTTTGTCAAATGCAGTTTCAGCTTTGGGAGTCCAGCGGAAAGTGTCTTAGAGGAGGTGAGAGCGGTTAATGGAAGGGCTGTTTGGCTGTAATTGTGTATGAAATGCCGACAGAAGTTAGTGAAACCTAGAAACCTCTGGAGTTGCTTGCGTGTTTTGGGGGTAGGCTAATCCACCACAGCCTTGATTTTCTCCTACGTGGGATGTACCTGTCCAACCTCAAGTATGAAGCCTAAGAACGACACAGAAGGCTTATGGAACTCACACTTTTCAGCCTTAACATACAGCTTATTTTCCAGGAGACGTTGGAGAACAAGGCGGACATGACGTTTATGTTCAGATAGAGTCTTAGAGTAAATAAGTATATCGTCCAGATATACAAACAAAAAATGTTAAAAAAAAATCTCTCAACACATCATTAACAAGAGCCTGGAAGCAAGCAGGGGCGTTAGATAATCCAAAAGGCATCACCAAGTACTCAAAGTGTCCCAAAGGTGTCTTAAAGGCCGTTTCCACTCATCTCCTTGCCGGATTCGCAGTAAATGGTAAGCATTTCTCAGGGCCAATTTTGAAAAAACAGTGGCTCCATGCACTGGCTCGAAGGCAGAAGACAACAGGGGTAAAGGGCATTTATTTTTAACAGTAATTTGGTTTAACCCTCGGTAGTCAATGCATGGTCTTAGAGTCCCATTCTTTTTTCCAACAAAGAAGAAACCAGCACACAGAGGAGAAGAAGATAGTCTGATTATACCTGCAGCCATTGAGTCCTTGATATATTTCTCCATATTTTCCCGTTCAGATTGTGAGATGTTATACAGCCGACTGGATGGTAATGGGGCTCCAGGCAGATCTATGGAGCAATCATAGGGTCGGTGAGGAGGAAGTGAGAGCTTTGACCTTACTGAAAACCGGAGCCAAGCCATGGTAGTCGGCAGGAAAGGTAGACAGATCTGGGTGGTCCGCCTCATGATGTTCAGCTGGTGATGGACCTGGGGGAACAGCTGATCAGAGACAGGTGGAGTGACAGCGAGCGGACCATGATTCAATATGTTTATTAGACCAGTTTATGTGAGGGTTATGTTGCTCAAGCCAGTCAAAACCTAAAATGACAGATGACGTGGCTGTAGGAAATACAAAAGAAGAAATTAATTCATTGTGGTTCCCAGAACAAACTAGAAGGAGCGATTTAGTCTTGCGAGTTATTTGAGGAAGAGCCTTCCTATCCAAGGTGGAAACACAAAGTGGAACAGGTAACTTAATTACTTCAATAGACATTTGTTTGACTAACTCTGAGTCTATTAGTGTCCGTTTGCAGCCTGAATCGCAGCCAAGGGAAGAGTTTGGTTATTGTAACAAAGGTTAGAATTAATCATGAAACGAGGAGGTTTTTGAATTTGCCGTTGGTCCACCAGACTCCTCCTTTCTACTGGTGGACCCGATAGTTTGGCCGCACTGGACAGCTAGCAATGAAATGTCCGGTCTCCCCACAATACCAACACAAGCGGGCTCCCCAGGTGAAAATGAAGTATACTTTAGTATATTTCAAACATACATACATTTGTGAAAGTACACTTTAAGTATACTAAGTATTAAGTGTACTACCAAATATATCTGAAGTATACTAAAAGTATGCTTGTACCAATTTTGAAATTATAACTTTAAACACACTTAAACATAATTGTACCAAAATACACTTTTAAAATAATAAAAGTATACTTTAAGTGAACAAAATATATATTTGCCCAAGTGTAAATATACACTTGCTCATGTATATTTAAGATATATTTTGTGTATATTTTAAAATATATGTTCAAAATATAATTTTTTTACATCTCAGTGTAAATTTTAGGCTAATAAAGTATGCCTTTTTTTACTTTCTTTATTTAAACGGGT